AGAAGCACGCACCACGAGGCCTCAAAGTCTAGAACAAAACAAGGATGTTAACTTTTAAATGTATTCAAATTGTTATCGATGTGTTATTTTAAAAAGTTGTTCTGTAGAAGTAGAGAGTAGAATGGTGGTTTCGAGAAGCTGGAATTTTGAAGAGGTGGTTGGGGAGGCCTTGGTCAAAGGATACAAAATTTCAGTGAAATAGGAGGAATGAGTTCAAGAGATCTACTGTATGATATACATGGTGATTATAATTAAGTATACATTTTTGGTTAATGCTAACAGAGTAGATGTAACATTCTCACAGTTACACAGAATATGTAAGGTGATATATTTTAATTAACTAGATTTAGTCACTATATGTATTTTTTTTTTTTCAAAACATAGTCTTTTGTTTGCTTTTTGAGACAAGTTGTCACTATGCAGTCTAAACTGGCCTCATGTAGCTCAGACTAGCCTTCAAGTTGTAGTGATCCACCTGGCTTAGCCTCCTAGGTGCCAGGATTACAAGCATGCACCACAGTGCCAAGACTTCAAAACATAATTTTATATATGGTTTGTACATAAAATTTTACCTGTCGATGTAAGAAAAATTGTTATTGAAATAACAGCAATGGTGTAAAACCAGAAAAATAAAAGGTATCGGTACTGAAAGAATTATTGGTACTCTTTGCAGATTTTATAGTTAATAACCAAAATCCATTATGAATAAGCAAATTCAATAAGATTAAAAAATACATGGGACATAGCTGTACTATGTATAAATAATAACGAGAAAATATAGTAAATGTAACAGATATAACTATACCATTTATAGCAACAAAACAAGTAAAACAAAACAAAAAGGTAAAATATCTATGAATGAATTTAAAACTAAGTGTAAAAGTTATATAAAGAAAGCTTTAAAACTACTAAGGTGCTTAAAAGAAGACCATGTAATCCTCTAGTAAATCACCTGAAGTGTCTTGTAAACTCAATGTGATTTTTTTCCCTGGGAAGCCAGGATATCTAGTTCTCTCTTGAAGAGAAAAAAATCAAGAAAAGCAATCTGGCATCTGGGCCCCTTCACATGACACTATTGCTTTGTAAACATTTTCTTTCACTTCTGCATGACCGTGTCCAGGTTCACTGTGGACTTCCCAGTCTTGGTCCAGAGCCAGCCATTTGCCCAAGGAAGGGGAGAATGCTATTTGGAAACAAAACTGAGGTACAGATATGTTCAGTATCTTGGGGACATTAGTACACCCCGGGCTTCTCAGTGGACAGATGCACACACACAGAGTTACAACCATGTATAATTTATTAATACAGATAATTAACCAATTCTCTCTCTCTCTCCCCCTCTCTTTCTGTATCTCCCTCTGCCTCTCTTTGTCTCTGTCTTAGAAATCATGAGTTCACACTAATATCTCTAACTCTAATCTGACACTTTGGGATATGTTCAGTTTTATATCTTTCTGTATTTTTAATCTTTTGGCTCTCATTTGCCTCTTCTGTATTTGTTATTTTGATCTACCCCTGTACATAGTTAGTTTTCCATTGCTACCACCCCATTTGCCCATCTCCACCCCAACACAGATGCCCTTCTTGTCACTCTGGTGAGTCCTCAGCCTCACTGGCACTGCGTCCCCACCATGCAGTCACCCTCCCCCTCCAGCAGGCTCAGACACACCTCTCTAAGATTCCACTTCCTCTCGCTGCAGGGAGTGGTATCTGCGCTGGGCTCCACCTCTAACACTGAGGAAGAGGACAAGCAAGGAGCCATATTAATTTACCCTCTCCGGAGCCCTCACCACCTGTGTGCTTGTCTTCCTACTTCCAGACCAGGCTTGGGAGGGCTGCAAAACCAGGCAGTGAAGCCATTTCATGGGGGAAGAATCAGGCACACCGCTAATTGTAAGACACTATTAAGCAAAATATTCTCATGAGCCATTTTATTATGCATGAGTGATTTAAATACTGAGAATCATGTCAGATTTGTTTTTACAAAAAGCAACAGCTATTTGTTCTTTTCTTAAATAGTACAATTATATAGATATATGAAAAGATTTTAAGTTAATAAAATATTCAATCAAATATGGTAAGGGTCTAAATTCTCATGAAAAAAATCTGTGTATGTAAGCTTTACATATCCATGTTATAGGTATTGAGGGCAAAGACAAAAAAATGTTCATCATTGGAAGTTTCAAAGCAGTTACCTAGGGCTGGAAATTTAGCTCAGTGTCTCAAGCACTTGCCTGCTAAGCACAAGGTTGTGAATTTGAACCCCAATACCAACAAAATGAAAACAAAAAAAAGTTACCTAAATTGGCCTCAGATTCTGTACCCTTATTCTGAGCTCTAGATATCCATGTTATTGGTACAGAGGGTACAGAAAAGCATTTGTTCATAACTGGAAGTTTTAAAACAGTTACCTAAATTGACCTCAGATTTCTGCACCCTTTTTCTATAAAACAGCAACTCTAAGTGGGCATGGAGGTACACACCTACAACACCGGCCTTCTGGGAGGCTGAGGCAAGAGTATTGCAAGTTTGAGCTCAGCTCGAACAACTTAGTGACTAAGGGGACCCAGTCTCAAAAATAAAAGATGGGACAGGGCTGGGGACATAGCTTAAGAAGCCTGGGTTCAATCTCTACTACCACCAAAGGAAAACAACAATGAAATCCAGGCATGTGGAGAACATCACTGAAACAAAGACTAAATGTTTTTGTTGAACCAGTGGCGGACTGGTGCACAGGATTATGAAATTTTCCTGCGAAATGGGAAGCAGTTGATAATTTTCACATAAGCATTAAGGAATCACTACATTGCCTGGAAGAGAATTTCTAACTCTGTCAAAAAAAAAAAAAGTCAGATTTAAGTGTTGCTGTCTTAACAGCCGGTCATGTGGAGCCAAAGATTTTTTTTTTTTTTTTAAAGAAAAGAGAAGGAGTCTGTGATTAGAAACTATCATGTAAGCCTAGGAGAAAAATTTTAGTATCAATGAAGAAGGCTCTAGTACAGTAATGAAGACTTTTATTAAGTCAATCTTACTGGAAGGAGACAATTTTACATTTTACATTTTATGATTAAATGAGGCATAAAACTGACTGGGATTGCAAGAGTTGACAAGGTCACATTTGGATGTCCTGAAATGAACTAAATGAACTGCCTCCCCTACCCCTTAGGATGGTTATTCATTGATTTAAACATCTTGCTGTTTCTTATTTAATATCTCCTATATTTGCTGTCGTATGGAAGAGGTAATTTCTTTTTGAAACTTCAAGGTTGTACCCCTTCAGTACAAACTGAGGACAACACACAACAGATATACTATTGTATTTACAGTTCTTTCTCATTGTCTCTTATGTCCCTGTCTCTATCTTTCTGTCTCTCTCTTTTTATGTGTGTGTGCAAGCGTGAGCATGCATGCGTGTGTGCATGTGTGTGTGTTTTACTGTGCAGTGTAGCTCCTTCCACATATTTCTGCAGTAGACACTATCCATGTATTTTGGAAGAGGGAAGTACTCTCAGGTTACGGTCCTTGGTCAGTCAGGGACCACACTTTCTCAGTCAATGGCTAATACTTTGTCTACTCTAATGGTCTCTGATGCATTCCAGAGGGCAGAAGATGTTTTGCTATGAGGACTTTCTAGTGGATTGCCTTTGTCCTCATGTCCAAGAATTATTGTAGGCCACTGAATACTTGGCACTATATTACACTCAGATATTGTGCATTATGGGTTGGATAAGACCTTGGTATAAAAATATCTGTTTATTTTTTTTAATGGTTCTGTAAATACTTTGGAAAGAATGTATTTGAGTCACAGATAGGGTCCATTAGAGAGCAGAGAATTAATACAATATGCCAGGTTTCCACCTCTGTTCTCATATAATTGTCTACTCATCTGACTGCTTTTTCATCTTTAATAGATTTTTCACAATATTAGAAGAACAAATTGTGCCTTTTCAGGGGCGCAACTGACATGCTTCACAGTAATCATGATCCTACTGGAGACATTCGCCAACAATGAGATTCACAGAGCATTTGGTGGTGGATCGAGGTCCTTTCACAGGCACAGCTAACTTTTACAGGCTTAGCTCAATGCATCCACACCGTTCCTGTGGAATGCAGTGATTTTTAATGACTCTTGAAGCCCTTGCTTACTGCTGAGTTGCAATGGCCTTTTCTTTAAAAAGACTACGAAGATATATATTTGTGCATGCCAGATAGATGGAACTTGTTAATTTATTATATGATACATTCTTTGTGTTATATGCTTCATACCAAATTATGGTTTGAATGTGTTTGGGCCTTATGCAAGTATTAATTGGCTTGATACAGGCTTATCTCACACATTAGAGAAAAATCAATATGAAAGACATTAAGAAACTCGGTAAGATCATAATATTCCTTTACAATAAACATTCTGCACTGGTTGTCTCATTTTGTGTTACCCTCATCTGTGAAATTAGGTAACCCTTGTAGCATAACTTATCAATATTAACAATTATTTGTTGCTTGTATCACTCAATCTCTACTTTATACCTGACTGTTCACTAGAGCTTTTTTTAAAAAATAGACTTAGGAATTGATTAATTAAATACAAAATGCTAGATCAACTTACAACTACTTTCAACCTTATCCACTCAAATCCATCTTCTGGCCTCTCTGCAAAGTTCCACTTTCATAGTGAGCTGGGCTGTCACATTAATTACGGTTAGCTCCACTCCAACTACTCTTTATTAAGGCTACTGAGAAATTTGGATGATAAGATGCTCTATTTCAGGGCCACTCATCACGTTTCCTGACAGATGCTAACAATAGTTCGCTATGCACTTTCTTTACTGAAGCTACCCAGCTCCTTGTCAACAGGGAAAGGTGTCAGAAGAATGTACCTAACATTGCTCACCACCATATTTAGTAAATGAATCAGAGTGCCAGGCTATAGATTACTTTGACTTGTGCTGCTATTTGTAGCTACTAGTACACCAGCTTGCCCAACCATTCCTGTTAGATTTCCTTTTAAAGAAGTCCAATATAAAAGGGGAAAACGAAATAATCAGGAGAAAAAAATCTTCTCATACCGACAAATGAATTTTTCTGCTTAATCAATTACCATTAGGCATTAGACAAATTCATTTTTGGTAGCAAGGTATGTTCCTTTCCTGTTGTAAATGTTATTACATGAATTCTAAGAGAAGTTAATTCTTACGGCACTAAAAGGATATTTATATTAATGAAATGCATGTATAGAACTGTTCTCTCCTCTAAGTTCACATTTCCTTTCACATAAAGAAGCCATGTACTGAAAAATATAACTAATACTTTAGCATTATTTTTCGGGAGCCACTTTACTAAAATTCTAGGAAGTTATACCAAAAAGGGCTGAAATTCAAAATTATGATCAGTGCCACTAGCTTAAAGTCAATAGCACACTAATAGTTAAGTAAAATGTGTATTTGTTATTTTATTTCTGAAAATTTCTTGACAAAACTGGATAACTACTATAGAGAAGATGCTAATTTTTAAAATGATAATCCCACTGCTCTCTTTTTCTACAAAAGCAGCATTTACATTGATTTTGTTTTCTGCTACTTTTCTTGTTCTAGTTTGTATGCCACACTGTCATTGCCATTTTCATTCTGCTGATGAAATATACCACATTCTGTCTTAGAGGACAAAATAATAAAAAAGAAAGGAAAAGCTCAGAAATAACCTGTGAATATGAATTGTTTCCATTCTTCACGAAATATTTGCTTTGTGTTGAAACTACAGCAAAAGTAATCTCTGGACTGGATTATGTGGTATAAGCTGGTTTACTAACAGGATAACATCAATTTAACTACAATGGAATTCAAATTGGCTATTAAGTTATGCTCTCATAGACAGTGGCAATATGTTACACAACTGTGAAAAAAATAGGAAGCACCGCCGACAGTCTGTGGCCCCAAACAGGCCAATTCCATATGCTCTCAACGCCTGACAGCTTTGCAGCCCAAGTCCCTGCTCCCTCTCAGTGACACCCATATGGCACCACAGATTGAAAGCTCGCCTTTCCTCAGACAATCACATTCTCTTTGAGTTCTATAGCTGTAAATGTTTGTGAACAGTGATTCTTCATTTTATTGCAAAAATAAGTGTATGGATACTAATTATTTTACTATCTTCAAAAGAGATATTTGTGTATCCTGACAGCCTTATATTAATTTTGCAGGGGAGAATGAGATACATGCATTTTAATTTAATATCAAGTGGACCAATCTCTCAACTGTGCCCCTATATTCTCGGCAATACCAAGTGGTAGGGATTTAAGTTTGAAAAGATACCACTTTTAAACATCTCATCCTGGAATGAGGAGCCAAAAAATGAGGATGCTATTCTCATATTAAAGTAAACAGTGTTGAATTTAATGGAAATGTCAGATACAAAATGAACTAAGGACTTTTTCTGGGAATGGTAATTGGTTTTAATATTTCTGGAGGCTGTGTTTACTTATACGTTGCAAATTTTAGGCTCCATACACTGACTTCTTTGCACACTGAGCACTTCTTTCAGCCCCTTGCAACACTGGACGTCAGATGCTCTGTTTGCAGACATACTGGGAAGTGGTCATTATTTTCATTTCAGCAGAGAGACACTAACTAGCCTCTAAATTATATCTAAAATGAGGAAAGCACAGAGTATATTCAACAAGGAGGATGTTCTTTCTCAGTAAGAGGTGAATACTATATGATACTAGATTTCAAAGTAATGTGAGTTTTTCTGTTACTAAAAAAATCATTTAAAGAAATTTCTCACTTTCAATAGTTTTCTTTTTTTAAAAAGCCAGAACATTAATACACTGATGAATATTTACAATTTATGAAAGAAAAGGAATAAAATCCTAGAGACATGTTCAGCACCAACCAAATTTGGTAAACTGAAAATACATGTAAATGATGGTAAAAGGAAAAAACCTCAGACTATTGTATTTCAAGACTCAGAAAAAAAGGAAAACAAATATTAGCATGCTTTGTTCAATTAAATTTCCTGAGTTAAGAATTTATTTTGCATTTCTCCATGAGAATCTCTATGAGAATTTCACCTGATCTGGATTTGAAATTACTTGTGACAGTTTGTTTAGTGACAACAGAATCAGAATCAAACAACAGAATTAGACAACAGAATCAGCACTTTCTTCTCTTCTGTTTCTCTGTCTCTGTCTCTGTCTCTGTCTCTGTCTCTGTCTCTGTCTTTGTCTCTGTCTCTCTCTCTCTGTCTTTCTTAGCATTGAACCCAGGGCCTTTGCATCTCACTCTCTCTCTCTTTTTTTTTTTTTGAGAGAGAGGGTCTTGCTTAGTCACTAAATTGCCCAAACGGGGCTTGAATTTGTGATTCTCTTGCCTTAACATCTGTTATGGATCAAAAACTGGTGATCAATTTAACAGCAACTGAATTAAATCAGCATGGTGCCGAGCGTAGACTGGTCCACTTGAGGAAAGCTGCCAGCATAAACAGAGACACGGAGAAGAGTTGGGCATTGTGGGTTTCTCTAAGTGTTGCCATTTGAGCCATTGGTTCTCCTGGAGGAGCTTGTCATGACTAGCTTCCCCAGTGTGAGTTCTACCATTGTCATCAGAGGACCTCAGGACCTTGGTGAGAGTGGCTGTGGTTCACTTTGGGGGAGCTCTGGTCCTTACATTGAGCATCGCTTCCTGGCTCCTGAGGAAAGGATGTGTGCTATTTAATCTCCAGCGGAAACTTGTCACTCTGACTTTCTGGCATGTATTTGACTGTTCTTACCATCAGAGGAGCTCAGGACCTCCATGTTGCTGAGGATGGCTATGGTACTTTTCAGGGCAGACCTGGTCCCTGTTTTGAGCGTGACAACCTACAAGCACAGCTCCCTCACTCGCTGGCACAGACTTTCTAGCTTCCACCAGAGACCTTTGGGCCTTCCCAGTGTAGGTCCATAAAACAGACTGGCGTGAGTCCTTCTCTGGGCTCTAGTCCTCCAGTTGGACTTGAGGGAGGCACTGCCATGGGCTCTAGGTCTTCATCTGGACTCATGCAGGACACTGCTGTGGGATCCAGGCCTTTGGCTGAATAGTCTTACTTTAGTGCTATGGACCGATTTCATTTACTCTGGGTGACTATCATAAAATAATAGTATAAATTCTGTGTCCTGATTCTAATTGTTCTCCTTACAACCCCTGAGTATAACAGCGTCCTATGTGCTGGCATTACAGACCTGTGCCACTACAGTCAGTTTATAAGCCTTTCTCTTTATTTTGCTTCCTCCTTCCAGGGTCTAAGAAGCATCTCTGTCTCTCCCTCTTTCACCCTTCACCTCTTACCCCATGGGGTGTGGCTTAATGATCCTTGGTTTTTCTCCTTTTTCAGTTCCTGAAAAACCTACAGGGATGTTCTAGCACATGATTACTCCATTACCTGCTTCTGCATTTTCCAGTTTCTAGGTCTTCAGTGCATCGTGGTCCCAGATCTCTGGAGTCTCCCTTGTGATTAGTATAAGTGCCTTGGTTACTTTTCTCTAATTGCTGGGACAAAATACCTGACACCCAAAATGAAGTGGGGAAAGGTTTATTTAGTTCACTGTTTGTGGAGGTTTCAGTTCATAATCAGCTGGCTCCAAGGTAGGGTAGCATGGCACTTGGTCAGTACTTCAAGGCAGCAGCCAGTAAGAGCAGCAGGAGCATAAGCAGGGGCGGAGCGGTGGTGGTGGTGGAGAACATGACTCTTTTTCACCTTTGTATTGTACACAGGCCACTCTCCCTTCAGGACTAGTGTAGTACTCACAAAATCTCCTTGCCCTCCTCTTGCCCAGGATGAGGACATTTACAGAGTAAAGATCATGGCTCTCTGCTCAGTCTCTTAGTTAAACTTCTAAACTCAAGTTGACACAATGTATCAACCATAACAAGAAGTGAGGGGAAAGACAAAGGGGGGGGGGAGACCAAGTGGGTGCTCCATCTCTGCTAATATTTTCCATGTAATAATACGTGTGTTGCTAAATTTCTGCTTTCTGGGAAGTTGAGGCAGGACGATGGTAAGTTCAAATTCAGGTTAGACAACTTATGATTTAGTGAGAGCCTGTCTCAAATGAGAAATAAACAAGAGATGGACATGTAGCTCAATGTAAAGTTTCCCCAATACTAAAAAAATTTAAATTTAAAATATTCGATGACAGAAAAATACAGAGTTTTATATTGAATCATATAATCAGTGAAAACTGAATATAGCAATGACATAGAGCTGGGTTAGAATTTATAATGAAAGAATTTGGGACTTCAGTGGTCTATCAGCTATTAAAATATGTGAATACTCTTATAGAGAAACTGTTCTAGAGACCAAGATAATGTTAACAACCCTATCTCACATCTTTTGGTAAATACCTGCAAATGCTGTTGCTTGTATCCTGAATGAAATGGCAAAGACTTATTCCTTTAGAGCCAAGAAACTCCCAGACCCTATCACAAAATTCAAGTTGGATATCATTCCATGCTTTTGGTTTGTTTCAAAGTTAATCACGACTTTTCTTAAAAATCACTACTTATCATGAAAACCTACCCTCAGTCTTGACTATTTGCATGCATCATGTATTTTCACCTTACAGCAGACTAATTAAAACCCGATCACACCTCCCTCAGGTATGAAATGCTGTGAACAACTATGCCCGATATGATTTGTGAAACACAGTGTAAAACGTGCATTGAATCATTTGTTCCAACCTCTGCTGCCTGCAAAGAGCTCTTACATGCATCACCTAAATGACAGGTAACTTCTCATTTTTTCTTAAAAGTAATTAGCCTTATAAAGCCAAAAGTCCATAACAGTGTTGGTACATCGCCTGTGGCTCTTCTTGATGAGCCGGTGACACTATGCTTTTTAATAAACCCAGAATTTGCCATCGTTGTCCCATCGACTCAAAAAGAGCAGAATTATCTTCTCCCCGAGGGCATTCACAAGTGTGATGCACACTGAAGCACTTGTTACATGAGCTAATGAACTGGGAGAGGAGAAACACCATCCACCAGAGACCGGAGGCAAGCAAAGTTTCTTCCCACATCAAAATAAATCTTCAGAAATGATGGGTTTGATCCACAGCAAGTGTGCTTCATTCATCTCCAATTTGTTAAGTAAAATGCTCTTGCGTCAGTGACCATGGCAGGTGCAGGCAAGAACAGATGGAGGCAGAGGGGAATGGCCTTGTGTTCAGTCCTGACACTTCAGAAAGCCCATGAAACAGAGCAGAATGTGCAGCTCCACAGTGTCTAAGACTCTGTGCCTCCCCAAGACGCTTGCTTTTGACACCCCCACTCACCCACCCAAGGGACTAGAGAAGAAAAAGGCGCCCGCAGATGAAATCTCGAGGCCTGGCTTGAGGTCCTGGCCTCCTAACCACACCTTCAATAGTTTTTATTTGTCACTTCATGTAAAAGGATTTAAAGAAGCCCACATAACCCAGTCTTTTCTCAAAACCCAGGAGATTTAGGCAAAAACACATATATTTTATTTAAATTTCTGATATGAAATGCTTAGATAAATCTCAGGCAGGAAATCAGCCCAAGATCTATTTGCTGGAGGCCTGTCTAGGTTAGCTTAGCTTACGGATTCTCATTTCAATATGAAAACCTTCATTGCAACTACTTCTCTTTGAACTCTGAGAATGGAGAATCCTGAAAATTTGACAGTTAGTGGCAATTTATGAAACATTCTATTACTGTTGGCAGAGTATGGAAAAACATGGGGATAAAAGCTGAATCTATAATGTACACACATATACTATATATATACATAGACGTTTATATCATTATATATTTAACAGCAGTGAAGGACAGAAATGGCAGAGCACTGGGACAGGACAGGTCTCAGAGAACATTTACTACACAAGATTTTCCACTGAGATTTAATCCTAAATTTATCTCTTAGTTCTGATTTCATTCTTAACTCTTAGATAGTAGACACACATACATTGTGTCCCTCTGGAACTCTCTCTACGTCTCTCCCTGGCATTGCCCTCAGTGGGAAACCCCCACTCCTCTCTGTCCGTCTCTGTTGCTGTCCGTCTCTCATGCCCCTGCTGTCTTCTGAGCTCTCCTGCCAGCAGCCTCCCTGCAGGCCTGCTCAAGTCACCCCTTCATTGGTTGCTCCTGAGATGCCTCAGCCTCTGCCCACTGCTCTAACTCTCCTTGCCCTTGCAATCCCAGGTCCAAGGCCCTATCTTGGCACCTCAGAGTCCTAGCAGCTGCCTCTTTCAAACTCCCTGAATCTAACTCCTGGCTGGCCCTCCCCCCCCACATCTGGGAGGGCAACGTCTCTCTCTCCCCAAGATGAATGCAGCAAACATTTGCAAGTTTGCAGGATTCTTTGATTTCAAGAGACTTTTGCATATCTTGCATCACTGTAGCTACCCGTTTTGCACATGAGGAAACCCAGACAGCTGTAGTCGCCCGTCGCATTACGCAGGCCATGTAGTGACCTGAGAAGGCTAACTATCCTATCAACAGACTGTTTCCTAAAGAGCAGTTCAAACCTGCAAGCTACCCACGAATGTGAGGCCTGCAGCTTGCTCCCTTCTGTTGCCTCCAAGCATCGGTAGCTGGTAATATGGATTTACTGGTTTGAATTGAGGCAGAAGGTGGATAATAAGAAGGTGAGTGAATGGGAGGTTATTGCTCAGTCTCACCTCATGCCACAGGTTGTGAGGAGAGCCTCATGCAGCCATGTGTGACCCCCGTCCCCATGCCGCCATAGGGAGGTGAAGTTCTTGGGGTCAGGAACAGCTGTATCTTTTTACAACTCTGTTCCTTAAATAAATTGGGACATAAATATATAGCACAGAGGCAAGATCCAGAGAAATCCATGTGTGAACTGACTCACACAGCTTTCTTGTTCTTTCAAAAAATTACAGGTACTCTTCAGAATTGATCAGGATCAAATAAGTATAATTTAATGAACTAGAAATGGATTTGTGACAAACTCTGTAAATTAAAAGTTTTCACTAATTCTGTAATTCACTTTTTTTGTAATTCCTCTTGAAAGAATATTTTCCCGTGTGTCAGCAACTCTTTAGCTTTCCATGTAGTTGTTTAATATATTATAAAGTAAGAAATAATAAGCGTCACATGAAAACTCATATTCTACAGAACATAAGAAGCCTTGGCTGCAGGAAAACCAGAAATGAGAAAGGAAGAGAAAGTGCACAGATCTTGACCTGTAACGGGGCCCTGTTCTGAACTGTCTCAGCACACATGGCCTAAGATTACAGTCCCAGACGTACAGGAGTAGGTGACAAACCATCCTTGATTAGCACTGGAAGCTTTGTGTTCTAGGAAGCTTTTCAGCCCCATGCGAGCGGGGACAGTTGGTCGCTCTATTAAAGAGACATCCAAAACATGGGCCGCAAGAGCATGACAACTAAGTGAAGATTTTCACTATTCCTTGGTTTACCAACTATCACTACCTAGAGTCCTCCCTCTGAACATGGAAAGGTTAAAATCTACCGCAGCTTAGAGAAAAGACTCTTGGTGCAGTTCTATCAATACATCTGGAATGCTGCTCATGAAATTCAATCTTTCCCTCTCCTACTCATGGCTATGTGTTGTTCGGAAAGTATGCATGAACTGAGAAGTATGTGACACGTGCCCACGTCCATACCCTTGGTGCTTACAGTCCAAGGTTAGTACTGTTTGCCTTAGTCTGGGGTCATGCAAACGTTATAGATCCCGGAGTCAGTAGCCATGGGCCCCCTGCGACAGGGTGGGCTCATCCTGAGGAGGCACCAGCGAGGCTGCTTCAGATTGTTGGTGCTAAGGTTATATGAGAACTAACAGACTCAGGACTTTCCCTTTTCCATATTTAAAAAAATAGTTGGCTTTTCTTCGTTTTTTTTTTTTTGAATAAAAATATATTTTATATACAAAGATATATAGATTAGCATATGTATTTAAAATAAAAATATATGCTTAGAACTGACAGTAGATAAAAATGAAGACTCTTCCAGTTGTCAGTCTCTATGAAAGCAAATTTCTACCCCTTTTGTCTTTCCAAATATTACATTTTCAATTGCATTTTTAAATTTAAAAAAAGACGCTTGTTACTTTCTATTCTTCAGTGATTAAATGTTTTATATCCTTAGGCAAGTCTTGATATTTAATAGCACATATACTATAATGCTATTTAATAAGGTTTAAAATGCTCAAAACATTTTACTAAATACACTGAGATAGATATATCTAATACATATATATTCCTAACTATGTATACATATGTGTGTATCTACCAATACACACACACACACACACACACACACACACACACACACACACACAATATATATGCATGGACCACACAGAACAGAGGTTGCCTCTGGGATAAAGTTGAATACTCAGTAGTTCTGGGAAGGGTTGGAAGGAAAAATCACTCTTCCTCCTGCATCCTTTCACAGTTACACTCATTCTGACCATTTTCTTTTTATCCTCCTTTGCCATTTACCCCTCTTCTCTAAGACCATTAGGCATCTGGCAGGCAATCAGGCCAAATGATTAACTGTGAGTCCTTTCAAGCTACACAATTAAAGTTTCAGTCTCTGATCTACCATTTTCTGCTGGTATGACCAAGACATTCAGATTCTTCAAGCTCTGTGTCTCATCTTCCTCAGGGGAAAATGAGACAGTAACAGTACCTCGCTCATAGGTTGTAACTAGTGCTAAACTGATGAACACACTGCTTGTCCCTTAACAGTGGCTGACACGCACTCTTGAGGAACTGTGATTCCACTAATGGACTCTGGGAAAACTAGGCTAGAATTGCTGATTTATCTTGAATGAGTGTGAGCTGCACCGATCAGACTGCACCTTAGCTGAGAGTAACAAACAGCTCATTGGTCTTAACCTTTAGTGCTCAGGGGCTGGTTGAGTCATATAACATTGCCAGTGTGTACTTATCTGCACACACTTGGTCATTAAATCTTGGGGCCGATGCTGGGCCCTCTGCAGTCAGCAAGAATAACCCAGTTCCTACAGCATAAACGCTCAGGAACATAGACGCTGGGGTCAGCCAGCCTGCCTCTGCATCCGGATGCCACTGATTCCATTGTGTGACTTTGGGCAAAACGTTTAGCATCTCTGAGCCTTACTGTGACCTTTTGTAAAGGACAATAAGAACTCCCACCTCATGCAAGAGTGAGCACAAAGAGATAAACACTGCCACTGTGGAGCACAAGTATCTGGTACAGGCTAAGTACTGTGAAGACACAGCCAATGTTTTTTTTCACTACAACCTAGATATTTGGTACTTGTTTTTGAAAAAATGATGAATTCTTACATTTTGAAGATAATATTTTTCAGTATGCTGAACTATCTTTAATCACTATATTTGCAAAAAAAACCAAACAAACAAAAAAGCAAAACAGGTAATGTGAACTATGTTAAAAATTTGAAAATCATTTTACTGAAAAAGTAGTTCCAGTCACTTGGGTAAAATATGTCCAACTCTAGGTTAAAATGGTATTTCATAAAAGAAAGTGTAGATAAGAGGTTTTACTCTAACTTCAGTCTTGGAGAAACCAGGACATTAACATATACAAGGGTGACAGAAAAATAAGGTGAATATTATGATTCTTTAAAAAAAATTTTTTTATCACAGTAAAAAATACTTGGTCACTAACTCCCCGCAAAACACCCTTTAATGTCAAATGCTATTATTCCATCTTGCCTTTTTATGAAGCAGTTATGGAAGCCCTTTTTCTTGAGTATCTTAAGAGTGCCATCCAA